GTCGAGATCTCCCTTCGGGTCTAACACAAGATGCTCCAATTTAACAACATCCGGCAGCAGGGGTGCGCGGCCCACGTCGCCCAATTAGGCACCGCCTTTCGGACCGACCGATGGCGGACGTGTTTAAGTCTGTAAACCGGCCTGTCACGATACGTCTAAAATTTCAACTGACGGCAGGCCCATCTCACCATCGATGGCAGCGCCCCGGTGAAAAGAAACCTACGCTAACTTCAACTGTTTTGGCGGCAACCACAAAAAGGCTTTTTCACCCCAAGCGCCTGCCAGTGACAAAAAGAAAGTGTGTAGAAATTCAATTGAACGTCCTTTATTTAACCAGGTGACAGCCCCTGAGATTACTCCCTTTTGCAAAGGCAGGGCCGAAATGGGTATAGTTACGTAAGAATGAGGGCGGGGGTTGGTGGGTGGCTGAGTGGGTGGGTGGTGGGATAGTTGCAATTTTGTCGCACGTCATTTTTAAAATTTGCTATTTGGGTTACAACAGCGGCAAATAAACGCCCAGCCGTGGGAAAGATGTCGCTCGGTGTTGAATGTGCACTCCCCATCGGAATGCGCGTTGTGTAATTGTATTTAATAGCGCAAAATTTAGAACTATTTAATCAGGTGTTTTCAAGTGAATGACAGAATTGATGAATTGCTAAAAGAGAATCGCTTTTTTTCATCCATACCAAGCTGGTGGCACACAGGCAACGGTTGTGGCATCATCAGCCACGGTCGATTCACTGCTAGATTGGCCTCCCCAAGCCATCGGTCGCCCCCCCACGATCCTGCGATGTAACAATCTACCCGTGCGTCTGCGCTCGAGCTCATTTCATCGCCCCCCCCCACCCCGTCTCTTCAATGGACGTCCTTTTGGACGCGTTACAAACCTCAGCTAGGATTCTGCATGACACTGCATTTGCATCGTCCAACCGTTTGATTTGAATTCACACAGCGGAGATTGTTGGATGGTCGTGGTGGCAGGATGTTAACAGCACAGACGACCTTCGTTTCATTCTTTTCAACATCTGTACCAATGACTCACATTGGAACGAGCTGAACTTCATACAAAGGCACCAAAACAACGGACACTGCGACAGGCACTGTGCACAATTTTCCTCCGCTAAAAATAGAGCAGTCGGGACAATACCTTGGCATATTTTTTTTACTTTTCTCTTGGCAAAGAACCAACTTTTTTTTGCTTTTTACATAACCCTGCGCATGATCACTGAAGCGGCAACAATTCAGCCGAGCATATCCCGTTAAGTAGCGCCACGAAAGCGCTAACGTCACAGCAGGATTCCTACTTGTCTTCCAGACTATTCATCTGAGCAATGTCGTGTTCGCCCTTGGGAGATTTCAAGAAATGCACTTCCGGTAGTTTGTTTTTATTGTATCTATGTATGTTGAACTTCTTTTGCACTGCACGTAGCCAACCGTGGAAATCAGGGGGTGCGGGAAAGGACAAAAAAACGAAACACAAAAAGCAGTGCTAAAGAGATGAGTTTTCAATCTAGATTATTTAAAAGTGTAAAGCTCCAGGGGCTTCCTAATATTTGAAGGAAGAGCATTCCAGTTGTCCTCAGAAGGGCATTTGAAAGCACGTGATGCAGTGACCGAGGCAGTATTTACAAAACGCAGACTGCTTCTCGTCAACAACTACAAAAATCTAGTTTACTCTGAAGAGGGCCCTAATTGCTCCTCCGAAACCAATTTCCGGAAACAGTTCTAATCTCTCTGTGAATAATTTTATAGAAAGCGTGTTGCCTTGTCGGACTCCCCTTTTCACGCGTATTTTCACACTAGCAGTAGCAATAATGTTAACACCGAGCAAGGCCGCAAATGAGGCTAAAAAACACCTTTTCAAAAAGGTCTGGCTTCGAATGGTGCTTTTGCTCGTGCACATTTTTCCACGTCAGTAAGAAAATCATGGGCACCTTTCAGAAACCCACGCGTACAATGTGATAGCACGAAAACAAACAAAAAACACACGCAGGGTACACGACCTACTTGCTGTACTTACTTAGACAGGCCCGATTCGCAGCTCTGCAGGCAAGTGTGCGGCATTCTGAATTATCTAAGACCGCTGGAAATCACAAGCATACATTCATCATGGCCGGGACTTACTGTGCATCAAAGGAGAGAGAAGTCTACGTCCCCGTTTCACAGGTGCTGCATTATCGCGAATGAATGATTTACACTTGCACAGAGGTTGATATCCCTCGTATATTGCATTGGCTCCGTGATATGTTTAACTCGGAGGGGGAGGGGGTTACGTGGATTGGTGTCTATGGTGTAGTGTCAGCGTTCCCATTTACAAAATGTATCAAGGGTGCCTTCCGGTCCTCCAGGTGTCACACAATCAATTTGTTTGGCCACCGTTTTCAATCGCGGAAGCAAAGGATATTTTCCGGCGCAGTTTATCGCATGTGCAAAGAGCAATTAACATTGTAAATAGCTGTAATACGATTAGCGTTGGAACAAACAAGTATTTAAATGCTGGGATTATATTTTTTTTCAGAAAAAAAGGATGAAGGTGCTCTTAGGCCAATATTTTCATGCCAAAAAACATACGAATTCAACTGCTGCTATTAGATATTATTGCGCAGATGACGCATTAGTGTGATGTTGAGCCCATGCTTAGCGGCAACGAACACGACAAAAGCTCCATCTGTTGATCTAAATGTGCAAGTGTGTCGACTGTGGCAGCGGCAGGTACAACATCCCCTCACTAACAATGCCTTTAGTTGACATAAACGGCGCAGGAAAAGTTATTTGCATAAGCCACAGTTAAGCCGGAACATGATGTATAATAATAATAATCGCTACGTGTGAGTATTCAGCGTTCATCTCAGCAAGCGTCCTATTAGATTCCAATTTGGATTGGCCTCTCGAATGTGTGTACATCAGCACTGCGTTTTTGCGTTTCCGTGCTTGCAAAAGGTCGCAGCAAAGCAGCTTTTGCACGAACCATTGTGGGAATTGTTTGTGTTTTTTTGGTTGAAGCGACCGCTTGGTTTAAAGTTGTGCAAGGAGTCATTTACGAAAATGTTTGCTGTATTATTAAACAGCAGCAGTTCGCGGACAAAATCGCCCTGGCTTTAATTTAGGAAGTGACGTCAGTCCGAGCTTACACAGCAATGCAAACTCGGTAAAAGCTTCAAGGACGGCGGAGAGTGAAAAGGACAAAGGACTACGGTGGTGACTGTGTAAGACAATGAATGAAGAATTACAATTTGGCAAAGTGGCAATTATAGAAATATTTGGGCTACACAAAGCTGGAAAACATCCTGGAATACCCGAAACCCTTTCAATTTTGCCTTGGCTTACATCTTTTTCTTTTCTTGCATTTGACAGGTTATTTTGATTGTTTGGAGACGATATTGTTAGTGCAATTGATTTTTTTTCTTAAATCGTAAAAAATATATATAACACATCAGTACAAAGGTCAGGGGCAAGCCAAGTCAGGCAATCAATTATAATGAGATCACTCACGTTTCTCTAGTTGATAACCTGTTGCTGCAATTTAGGCGACGGCTATAATAAACGTCGAGCCACAGCGGGACAACCGCCACTGCCCACTAAGAGGAAACTAACCGCTCTAATTAAGGCAGCAGTGACGTCCCAGCTGCAGAGTGCCTCGCGAGAGCTCGTTAAGGACCTTAATGAAAACGTGGAAAAACATTTTTTTCCAAGTGGGTTTCTTAAAAAAAAAAGGAGGCAAGCCGAAATGATGCCCCACCGTGGAGGCGCACCGAGGAACCCGCACACCACGAGAGCTGCGACGTTAAAGGGCTCTGACGATTAAGCGGGGCAACGTGGCTCTGCGAACGGAAAAGCCGGCGCAAATAAAAAAAAATCAAATGAGTCTTTTTTTGCAAGGACACTCCGGGTGAAAGCGCCACGCGGGTGACTCATTGGTTTTAGGTGGCGCAGTATATTAAGAGTTTTAATACTTTGCTTCCTTCCGGAAGCCTCGCCGAAAAGCAATTATCTGCGTGGAGGTTGCATGCAATTCACACCTCTGTAGCAGTCATGGCAAATCTAAAGCAATCACACGGTCATTAGCATTGTATGTCATCCGATCTGTTGATGTTAATATGGTAATGCTAACGGTATGTTACATGGAAAGAGAAAAAAAAACACCCATCGCACTAATAATGATGTCATGGAAATGTTTGCTTAAAACAAAGTCAAACGTTTAACATGGCAACGATGAGATGCGCTCACGGTATGGACAAAACAATGCTACGTTCAGAAATAAATTCAACAACTGCCGTCCGTGCGAGTGTCTGTGCACGTGTGCGTTCGCGTGTTGTGTGTTCGCCACCTGCAGCAGGCTTTTTTCAGCTGTGCACCACTCGCACGCACTGTAGAGCTCATGCACACGCTCATACATTTTAAACAGCCCCGATGGAAGGAAGACACTCGCATCAGAGCAGCCAGCCAGCCAGCCATAGAACGAAAGCAGCAATGTCAGCCGGTGACAATGCAAAGGGGGCCTTGCTATTGGCCGCTCTGAACAGGTGATCAATACCGAAGTTGAAAGACCTCGCGATTAAAGCAGGGGGATAAAAAAAAAACACGCGAGAACAAACAAAAACACGGAAAGCGTGTCACAAAACGACGGCTATCAAAGCGCACCATCAGATGTAAAGTGCACCATTAAAGACCCTGTGAGGTCATTCGCAAGAGTAGGCCCACTGTGGGACAGTTATTCGGCCCAAATGCGAAAAAAACGTCACACAGACTTGTAATAAAACTAAAACTGGAAGAATGGGCAAGGGCATTGAAAATACATAATGAATTATGCAAATACTAAATGTCAAATGCATTATTTTTTTTGTATTTCCATCCGATTGACCGTGAAAAATGGCCTCAACTACGATTATCTCACCTCAGCCTTTCACCTCCCTGCAAAAGAAGGCCAACGGCCCAAAATATTATCTCTCAACTCGTCCAGCCCTTGAGGTGGCCGTTCGCATCTCGTCTGAGAGACTCACCGTGAGGGGTCGGTCGGCCGAGTCCAGGATGTCGTCCATCTTCTCGTCAGCGAACATGCGGCGTTCCAGCAGGGAGGACTTCTTTTTGGTACCCGTCAAGTTCACCAGGTGGATCTAAGGATAAATGGATTGTCATACGTGTTACGTATGTTGAACTTCTATCGCATCGTACATAGCCAACCGTGCACGGTTGGCTAAATTCGGTGCGAAAGAAGTTTAACGTACGTACGTACATTGTGTTTTTGCTGATGAGCTCTCCCGGTGTGATTTCGGATTGTGCCTCGCGCGCGTCGTTCAGCATGGTGTCGCACTTGTGTTTAGGAACAGAAGCTCCAGGCACGTGGAGCGGGAAAAACGCCGGACATCGTGACGAACAATACGCGGTACACGACCGGCAAGATTCAAGCACGATCAGGGCACCGGTGCCCCGTGAACTTCACTCGTTGCTTCCTCTCACCCACGTTGAGGATTCGACCTGCTAGGCCGTTTCGCCTCACCCTTATTGTGTTCAACCACCACACTTTTCGGACAAAAAAATATTCCCTTTCTGCTTATACCCTCGCACTGCTCCGCCACGGAATTCCCTGCCATCGTCGCGTTTCTCCCCTGCTCGTAGAATAACCTCGCCCCAACTCATTGAAACCAATTAAAAAATCTTACCCAGCATGCCTTCAAATCGAGCCGCTTGCTGCCGACCGCTTGGGATTTCGGGTCTTCGGGCCCTCGCACCGGGGCACGCGCGAGATTCGACAAAAAAAACAATGAAACGGCGCGACCGACCAACCCACCTTGATCCAATCGAGGCCGCGTTCGCCCAGCGGCCGCCCCTCGGCGAACAGCAGAAGGGCACGTGACATGTCGCTGCCCAGGTGGTTGAAGTGCGGCGGGCATGGGTAGGTGCGCCCGCGGAAGTCCATGTTGTGCGGGAACCAGAAGACGCGGCCGCGCATCGCGTTGGCGATGGACAGCTTGTAGAGCGCGCTCATGCGGAGGCTGTGCATCTCGCTTGTCGTCTTGCGCGCGTGCGTCAACGCGCGCCGGAAAGCGAGCCGGTCGGCGATGCCGTTCTGACCCGTTGGGTCGTACCTGCGCCGGGTGGTGGGACGGAGCGTGGGTTTGGTGCTTTGGTTGGCTTGTTAATTTCGGGTGAGGGGGTGGGTTTCTGTGTTGTTGATAATCGTAAGGGTTAACCCCATAAAAATTCCTATGTCTGTTTGCCACGCAGATAGGAATATCCAACAGAAACCGTCAAGCCCTGTGTGCATGCAAGTCTGCGCCCGTTGGACCAGTTTAAAGCTGTGACAACTTGTGACAACTTGAAACTGTGCAACTTATAATTTGAACATTTGCAGCCATATTTTGTCAATACGCTGCTGGATGAGGGCTTTCCCGTAGCATGCGAGCCGTGGGGGTATTTTATCATAATTCACCATGCACGCTGGTGAACGGGGATTGGTGGTGGGCAGCATAGACGCGGGAACATATAAGTAGAGCACAACAAAGGATTTTTACGCACTACCCTCTGTTGCAAAACAACTACAAAATTGTTGTAATCAGGCGGAGTAAAATGCTCTGCGCTCCTGAAAAGCGATCAGGCAAACCGAATTAAAGGAGGCTCGCTTAATTACAAAAACAAATACAAAAACGAAGATCTTACCACCTCCGACCACCCCCCCCCCCCCCACCGGCTACCTGGGCACTTTGGGAGCCTCGGAGAGAGGCGGTGGGATGTCGAGCTTGTCGCAGCCGCGGTCGTTGAAGATGCCGATGACGATGTCGAGAAGCGGCTCGTTAATGATCCAGGAGCACGTCCCCAGTTGGTTCAGCACGTCCATGGCGGCATGCAAGCGCCGCGCCTCCTGAACCTACGCCGGTCAGGTTCAGATGGGTCAAAGGTTGGTGGTCAAGGCTCAGCCATGCAACAAAAAGAGCCACCCCCCCCCCGCCTTGAGAGTGAGAGAAACATCGAAAATGTGTGTGGCTTGTGTACTGCCTTTCGTCAAATATATCTCCCATGGCCTACCTAGCAAATTAATACACGTTGTGGAGAATGTTAAATAAAAGCGATAGAATAAATAAGCAGATGAATATGCCTTTTCTTCACGTATCTGTCCCTCCATAAAAACAAAGAAGTACACCGAGTGTCAACACCAGTCCAGAGAGTGCTTGTGTAGAACCAATGCTGCTGAAATAACCCACCAGCAGCAGCAGGCCGTGTGGCTAATTGGGATATGCAACAATGAGGTCATTGGTGTACCGTTTTGGCAGACATAGCCTTGATGTTTTTCCACCTTTTCCTGGTCCTCAATTTGACAGATCAACTTTTTGTGGCTTAATCATGCCAGGCTTGCGCTGTTCTGAACACAAGTCAACCCACTGCAGGATAACAGCCTGCTCATGCTGTGTCGGCCATAGCAGTTGTTTGACCATACTTCACCACGCTGATAAATACAGGTAGGTGAAGGTGGGATGTCCAGGACCGGTTCGAACATCACTCGCCGCTGGTATTAGTTAGCTCCGGCTGGGATTCAAACTCAAATTGCCATGTTCATAGTGCAGTACGTTAATCGCTGCGCCACCACTTCACCCCACATTTTAAATGAGCAAGCAGAAAGCCAGCGTGCCCCTCGACGTCACCTGTGAAGACAGCTGGCAGTGAACAGAAGAAAATACCCGGCAGGCCACCACTGAGTTTAATACGGAGCGATGTAAAATATGTGCGAGACAGAGGCAAAGTTACGGTTAAGGCGCTTTAAGCCATGGCATTGAGTCGAAGGTGAAGCTACCAGATTTCGCCAAGCCATTTTAAAGAAATGCAAAACTACCCAAGTGTACGTACACAGAAGCGAAAATTTTAATATTGATGAGACTGTTAAAAAGCGTCATTAGATAACACGTACTGCATAAATGGAAGCCAGACTTTCATAACTCTCCTCTTTTTTTCGAGCTCAGCATCATTTAAGCTCAAAATGCTTTATATGGGTGAACAACCACAGAAAAAAGTCCTGACTCAACCCGAAACACTCAGAGCAAATGATCAATCTGGGCTTATTACATGCAGAGGACAAAACTGCTGAAACGCCACTCGCGCTCACGCCTGTGCATGATGCAGGTCTCTGCCACCGTGTTTCCAGTGGCACGCCCAAGCCGAGCCAGCACAAGGCCCTCACAGCATGGGTGGTTTTCCACCGGCTATTTGCCGAGACGAGCCAGAACCAATCCATGGAACTTTTTCCTCACAAAGCAGGTGAATCTGGCTCAGGTCCAAGCAGGACCATGGGCGGGGCCTAATGGCACGTTCGTTGCATGTGATGTCATTCGGCAACACAACTCAAACACAGCGTCAGTTGTGTTAACAACTTATGTCTCTCAGCTGGTTCATTGCACATGACGTCAAGTCGATACGGAAACTAAAACGCATCGTCATCGTGTCATCTATATGCATCAACGACTGGTTCGTCACATGTGACGGGCTGCAGCATAACTCTACTTTCGTGGTGAAAAAAACAACTTGGTGCCTCCTGAGCTGTGACGGGCCCCCTCGCCGCGGGCCCCAGCACGGCTCGGTGCAGGGTCTCACCTGGCACAGGTCCAGCAGGTTCTGGTGCTGCGTGGCCATGTCCACGCTGCGCATGAGGGTAGTGGGTATCAGGACGTAGCCGCCGAATCGGGGCGAGGTCCACGGCAGGGGTGGGCAGGAGGTCGGCAAGGCCTGCACGTCGAAATGAAGCTCCGTCTCGACCGCCCTCGACTGCAGCTGGGTCACCAGGGGGTGAGGCTTAACGAAGCCGATCTTTAGGTGACCGGCGTAGCAAGCGGGGTCGTTGGTCAGGGCAGGGAGAGACGCAAAGCAAGGAAGAGAGGAGGGGCCGAGCGTAAACACGCGAGCAGAAGCACTCAATAAAAGACGCAATTACACGATGATCAGCGTACACTTCGCCATCCAAAGCGCTGGCAACGAGCAATTTAAGGAGGCTGGAGAGGAGGTTTCCATCATTGTGCTAAAGGTGAGTTCCTCCGGCCAACCTCATCAGTGGGGAGCCGTGCCTCTTTTGCACCACCCACCACGGTGCAATACCTCGGAGCCCCCTGATTTATTGTGTCGTGTCACTTGACAGCCATGCAGAGATTTTTCAAAAGCCATCGGCTGGACAGTCCTGTTTTGTTTATGGGGTTTTTGTCTGATTACTTGATTTGAAATCACATCCGCAACAGAAAACATGAATGCTAAGTAATAGGCAATGTGAATGGAAATTGCATCTTCCATGAATATTGAGTGCATGGCACTGCCAGTGCAGGTTTCATTTCATTTACTGCGAATTACATTTGTTTAAAAACCCAACAGAAACGCTTAACCCCTAACTTGTAATTAAACAACTTCGCAAGTCAAACTGTGCACATTTGTAGGGCTGCCTTGCTTTTAACCACGTCCACCTATTATTATTATTATTACAGTAAACATCTCGGAACAAATGGCCAGTGTCGCCTTTCAATTCCAAATATTTTACATTCAACTGAGAACATTGGAATGAGGAATGGGACGCCTTTGCTAAAAATGGTGTACGGCTGAATGTTGTCCCACCTGATGACGGACGCTTGTGTTGCGCCCGAAACGTCGTGATCAAAGTTATTTATTTATTTTCTACATACGTTACTTTACCGAAAGAACCAAAGAGTATGGATCCCTGCAGTCACGAAAACTTGAAATCTAGATTGACAAAACAATATCACTTTTCAAGATGTGAACAGTCCATGCAAGGAGCAAGTGGGTGATGTGTGTAAATCAAATACTACAAAAAATAACATTCGGCCTGATAGCGAGCTAGATGTAATAGGCACTGAAGTAACTGTCACTACACATCAGTTATACAATAAAGTATTTTTTGGAAGGAAATTATTTTACTCATTCATTCATTCATTTCACTCCTGACTGCAAGGACAATTTGTTTGTTCGTCTCTGCAAATCTTGTCAACACCAACACCCCTGCGTGGATATTTGCACAACAAATCCCACAAACAGGGGCAGGAGACCTTCAGCAGATATCTGCCGTGAGACTGCGCGACGCTGGAACGATGGAAATTGCACAAAGCGGGCGGCTTCTATCACCGGGCCACGGAATAGCAGGTGGGTCTTTGCAAGTGGCGATCATTATCGCTCTGAATCACGCTCATCATTCCAGCAGGCAATTTCATAGAAAAATTGCTTTGATTTTTCATGGGAAGCGCTGGGGGCCCAGTGATTGCGTGTGTGCGCGCAAGGGCAGCTGGGGTGTGCATTCGGGACGCATTCTGTCGAGCCAGTATGTGGTGATTTCTCAGTTATTTAACCCCTTCGAGGGGGCACTCACCCACTCCTAACAGCCACTAATCATCTTTCTTTTCAGCTGAACCGTTGGAAATCGGCAGATGAAAAACCACAATGCGATAAAGCCTCCCGTCGAATGCCTATTGGTTGAAGCCAATACAAAGGGACCTCCCCCCCCCCCCCCCCCTCAGTGGCTTTACAAATATATACATTTAAGTATCGCGACAAAGTATTAGGTCACTGATTCTCCATAGACGTATCGTGCAATGCATCCTCCAAAAGTTTGATACCCGCCGCTCTAGCCAAATAGCAGGCGACAATCTGTCGATTACTCTCCCCAGCGACACTAACTTCCAAAGAGACAAAGTCAATAATTCTACGGAATGATAATACTCTGGCAATGTTTTTCGATCGCAGCAAACACACACGCGCACCGCACATGCACATTATTGCACTGCTCCATCTGCATTGCCATCATCCTGATGATCATCACCAGCCTAAATCAATCCACTGCTGCATGAAGGTCTCCTGAAGCCATCAGCCATCCGTAACAACCCCGCGATTGGTAACAATCCATCCAGCTCCCCCCACGCACGAGCCAATACCATTGCTCCATTGGCATCACCGCTCTGGAAGACTCGAGTGAGCATCGCGAACTGCGGTCAAGAACTGCTCGTGCATTTCTGCAGTTGCTAACGACACCGTACGGTGCCATTCATCATCATCGGCAGTGGCCGTACCTGGCGCACGCTGCGGAAGGCGTACACGTGGTAGAGCGCCGGGATGGGTTTGGTGCCCCTGACCAAGTCGGTGGAGCCGGTGCCGGAGTACACCTTGAGCTCGCGCACCATGATGTCGAGCAGGTACGAGCCCAGCGTCACGGTCACCGGCAGCGTCCACTCCACGGTCTCGCCTGACAGGCGGTACCCGTCGGCCACCTCCGCTTCGACGCGCTCCCAGAACTGGCGTGGCAAGAAGCCGCTCACCTGCCACCGGCGGGAAACGTCACAAAGCAAATATTGGGGACGGATAAAAAAAGGACAACGCCGATGACGCAAAGCAGCCGGAACGTGCCCGATTCTGGCCAGATCTCGGAAGCTAAGTGGGGTTGGGCCTGAAAAGTGCTGGCATGAGCGATCACCGTGCATGGAAGAGGCTGCTGCGCGGTTGCCCCGTCAGCAGGGGGCAGTGCAACAAAATCGGTTGTAGTGCTCTACTCTACTCAAACATTTATGCTCCCCGCTGTCACCAACCACGCTGACCAGCGTGAAGTAAGGTCAAGAAAACCCTCATGACTCGACGCGTGTGGAGGGTCCTTCATGCGGCAGTGGGCTGGCAAAAGGACTGTAAAGCATCATGATGTTTTTTTGTTAATGGTTCCGCCATAATCCACAATCTCCAGTGAGCTCTTCTCTGTTGCTGCTCCGCGGAATGAGACGGGGAAAGGGATCAACATGCGTTTAGGTTATTTAGAGAATTTTGCTGCTGTAAACTTCCACATGATAAGCCACCTCGTTGAGCTATCATTTGTGGCCAGGTGACTTCTGAAAAATAAGCTCATAGTTCAGTGGTCTTTACCTGGCAAGATAAAAAAGTAAAATGTTATTTGAATATTTTGTAAGTGATTCGTTTATCTTTCCTATACTTTGCAATCATATCGTGTTTTCCTAATGCTTGTTGTTGTAACGTTCTGACCCATGCCAACTGGACACCTGTGAAAAACAGCTCATCGTATTTCCTCCAAGTATGAATACATTTATTCTGATTCAGGAATAATCGGCCCCCCCTACCTTGCCGTCACTCGCCAGCAGTTCACAGTAGGCGTCGTACACCTTGGAGATCCGCTGCGCAACGTGGTTTCGCATCTTCTTGCGTATGCAGTACATGTTGAAAACCTTTCTGCCCAGATTTCTGGAGAGCGACATCACTGAATCGCCATTGGGCGGCAGGCTGGATAAACTCTGCACACGGACGCGAGGGCACATCAGTCACGAGTCGGCCGGCGACATCGTTACACGCGTTGAATCATGGGAATTAAACGGCATGGAGTTAAAACAACACATACATATCGTCCTCATCAGTACCCCAGCTAAGTGGTCCATGGGCCTAAGCACAAATTGACACTCCTAAAGGCAGCAAAAACCTAGTTGTACCTATTTAATGAGCAAATTATTTGATCTACTCATTTCAAATGGTTATCATATTATTGGCCACATTGAGAAATGGGAACCGTTAAAGTGGTGCCACCTCAGGTGGTACCGGCAAGTGAGATATCTGCTCTGGGCTCATGGAGGAGAGCAAGCTTTGGCATCGATTCTAACACACATTAAATGCATGCAATAACTTAAACCAATACATTTTCTAACAATGATTGAGATTTTAAAAAATTCGCAGAGGCCAGACAGATAATGTCATTAAAGAAATATGAAAATGTGCCATAATCTAGTAAAATATTTACATTAAGAACCCATCATTCACTTGCAGTTCCTAAAGGCTACCAATGTTGCATGCCATGTTTTGCACGTGATAAATAACTTGTAAACTAAACAAATTGTTAAACAAATGCTAAATGTCTAAATTATTTTTACAATTTACTATACCGCATTGGGAAAATGGATAGTGAACCAAAGTTCAACATACATACATACAAGCAAGCAGAAAAATGTATTTCGACTTAAGCTGACAGCGGATAGATCGTGCACATCGCATGTGCAGAGAGTGTCGATGCTCACAGCGACGCCGTCTCACCTCCAGCATGGCGTTCACGTACTCCTCGTCCGTGAGCAGGCACGTGTAAGGGTACAAGTCCAGCTTGAAGCTGCTGCCGAACCTTCTGGACATCAGCTTCTTCTTGCCCTCCGCGAAGGCCTGCAGCAAGGTTGCCCGCCACTCCTTGTGCAGCTCTGTCAGGGCCTGCCGCTACATGCAACAAAGATCCCCCGTATAGCCTTAACAGACTGTTGGGGCAAGTGCTGTTAGTGAGAACCTATTAAGGCCGGCACGGCACACGAAGGGGGTGGTTGGCCAACACCACGCCCGGCCGCCTTTGTCTTCCCAGTGGTGATGTTTACACACCGCACCAGGTACTCATCTGAGGCTGAGTTCACCTAGGGGAGCCTCACGACTGGTTCAGATAATCGTCACTGGTGCTGGCCGTGAGAGGGAATCCAACTCGCGTTGCCAGGTTCGTAGCGCAGCGTTGTAACAGCTACACGACCGCTACACGCAACACACGTGCGCGCAGAGGGGAATCATGGCAGGAAGGTGGCTATGGCATGTGCTAAGAGTGTTGTCGGTTTCAGGGTAAACGTCGTGCACAAGAATCAGAATCGGATCAGTGAACGCAAACCGTGCGCCGATTGACAAGCTTGACAATTTACCGGATCGTTATAGCACATTGTGTTCTTGTTCGTTAAGAAAAGCAAGTGGCCTCTCGGGCAGACTGCGTCACCGGAAGGGAACGATGGCCGGGTGGTCGAGACTAACAACCGAGTAGCAGCCAAGGGAGGGAACTCGTCCGGGAAGACACCCGTCCCGGAAGCGGAGCGATGAATTCGACTCGTCTGAAGGTGCTAGGCGAATTGTTTCAATGCGGGACCATGAGCGATTGCAATGGTTTGAGGAAGCCTTCCTCCAGCAGTGGATTGATCGTGGCTGATGATGATTACAATACAAAGTTGTGTGCATAACATTTTGGGTATGCTACTGTATCTCAAGAGAGAAATTTTAGCATTTAATAATTTTACTTATTTGTTCAGGTAATGAGGCTTTCGGACGGTGCAGAGCAAGGAGGGAAAGGAGACGATGGAATGGCAAAGTGCAAATGAAGACACTTCGGACAGAAGAGTAAGTCGGTTCTAGTTAGAGAGGAGGAAAGCTTGAGCCGGCGGGATGAGATTTTGGATGCCCAGACAGCTGTGGAGAAGGTGGTTGACCCGAGGTTTGGATAGGGAGGAGAGCATGGTTACCGGAGCGGAAAGCAAGAGAGGGGAACAAGCGGAGTTGAGAGGTAAAGGGCAGTGGGGGCGACCCCATGGAGGATCCTGAATTTGACGAGAGCTGAATGGGGGAGCAATGGAATTTGGAACACATCTGGGTGATATTAGTTCACGTATTTCTGAGTACCACCATGAGCAAAACCAACAGGGATCATTCTATAAAAAAAAACTGACCCCTGACAAGGGAATGTGGAATTTCCTTAATTGGCTAAGGGCCAGCCACAGAGATGGGTGTTGTCCCATTTCCCGCTCCAGCAGAGACTTGAACTCATTGAGTTCAATTTACCGAATGGTGCTGGCCCGGTGGTGGATGGCAAAAAAGGTATCAGTGAAGCATGCGCATCACAACAAATACTTTAACTGTGGCTAAAAATAAATGGCAGCAGTGCTGGGGATTAAAAGTTAAATTCTATTGTGATTTTTTTATTTAAATAATGTACGCAAGTGCGGAAAGCAAAATTAATCTTATTGTGTCATTGGCAACATTGGTATGAGAGGTGACGCACACTCCCCGGGATAAAGCACGTGGGATACGTCACCAAAAATTCAAATTCACACCCACCACACTAGGAGGAAGGGCCCTTTGCATGAGCTACGCGATGAACTTTCAGTATCCTTCAACACCTTTTTCAGCATGAATAGGAGCATGTCTATTTGGGGAAGGTGAATAGGATGTTGCCAATAACAGGGCCCAGAAATAGACTTTTTGTTGCGTGCAGTGACATTCATTCAGCAGCCTCTTTAGGGAAATAAGAGTGTGCGCGCTGGTAACTAAAGATACACTCCTCCAAGGGAGCGATGCCCTTGTCTGGGTGCACGGCTTTTGGAATACATGGGAGGCACAAGCCTATCACTCTTTAAATGGCTCGTCATCATGGGCATAATTAAAACACGTGTTACAGGCCCACACAATCACAACTAAACATTTTTAAAATGCAGATAAATCCTGTGGTCAGAATCAGTTTCCTGACGAAACTAAATAAAACCTAAATGAGAGCTACAAACTAAATTTCCGCTCGGGCTGATTCAATGTAGGCCACATCACTCAAGTTGCCGGAGAAGTGAAAACAACGGCAGAATGCTCAAGTGTGTCGGCAGGAAGTAACAGTTTCCAAATATAATTGCACCTCCGGGAATTCTATTATGGCTTTTTACACCATGGCTGCCGGGCACTCATGGGGCAGTGGAACCAGCAACGGTGTCGAACAGCCTGAGTGCAAAGCAATTGCAGAGGTCACTGGAGGTCAGCGAGGGAACACAGACGGTAACACAAAAATAAGCTCTATCACTGGCATCCTGTGGGACAGACCGCTGAAGAGAGTCTTCTCGACAGCTCTTTACTTGCCACTGTATCCCCAAAGCCTCTGACGTCCAAACTAGCCATTGGTGTCGATCTTAAGAAGCTGTTCTCCCAAACACGATGGAATATTAATCTTGCACTTTCGTTTTAAAGATTTATCATGCATGCGAAAATATCCTAAATGGCTCCAGGTGGCCCGGGGGAGAGCGGAATGTGCGGGATGCCAACGGGAAACAGCGAGGCGCTCCACGGGAAGGCGTTTCTGACATCGCACACTCCTGAGAAATGCTATGAAGCCCTAATAAGTTGTCGAAAGACAATGAGGACATCCTTGAATGTCACGAGGTCCGTTTGTGGCCATTAGCACCTCCGATTAGCACGGTTGGTTACGTACGGTGCGAAAGAAGATCACAACATGCATACATCAAAAGCTACAGCCCTAAAAAAATAATTTTTCACGCAATTTTTGAAAGCAATTCGCTGTTTTCTTGCGTCATGCCAATGAAATAAAGTCGTCGAGTCTTGACACTGGCTCCCTCTTCTCAATCAAAAGAACCTCAAAAAATGGTTATGTTGTCATATGTTTGTGCAAAAAAGGGAACTGATTAAGTCATTAAGGAACACGACGTTACTCCAAATGAGCATAATTGTCATTTTCTTCTCGCTGGGAGGCATATGGTATGCATAACATAAAACAAGTCCTTCATAAAAAGGAAGAGAAATCAAAAACCTCGAGAAAAGGGTTTATTAATTTTCAAAACCACTTCGAGGGTGGTTTCATGATTTCACACGCACATACCAAGGATGCCAAATATGAACATGATTCTTACCAAATGCTTTAAATTTAGTCCACCACATCAACGGTGCCTATCAGTTCTAGGCTGTGTGACACGCACACACCAGCAAAAGTACCTTTTTCTCCATCTCTGGCGTTACTGGTTTCAGGGCTTCCACTGATTGAATGGTGACAATGTGAGCTTTCTCCAGATCCATCTGCCTCCGAAAGCCCTGCTTCAGTTCTTCGGTCGTCTGCTTCAGCCTGGGGTAATTTCCCGAATTATCCTGAGGAAGAACACAAAAAAAACAAATGAGTTCCCCCAGAGTTGCGGTGGCGAGATGTTAAATACCTCGCCCAATATGCAGGAGGTCGTGGGTTCGATCCCGACCCTGATACCTGTATATTTGGAGTTCGCATGTCTCTCTCCCCGTGGATTTTTCTCCAGCTCCTCCGGTTTTCCCTCTACATTTAGAAACGTGCGTTTAGAGTATTTGGCTACTATAAATTTTCACGTGATAAGCCACTTTGTTGAGCTATCGTTTGGGGCCAGGTCGCTTCTGAAAAAGAGCTACAGTGAGGGAAAAAAGTATTTGATCCTCTGCTGATTTTGTACGTTTGCCCACTGACAAAGAAATGATCAGTGTATAATTATAATGGTAGGTTTATTTGAACAGTGAGAGACAGAATAACAACAACAAAATCCAGAAAAACGCATGTCAAAAATGTTATAACTTGATTTGCATTTTAATGAGAGAAATAAGTATTTGACCCCTCTGCAAAACATGACTTAGTACTTGGTGGCAAAACCCTTGTTGGCAATCACAGAGGTCAGACGTTTCTTGTAGTTGGCCACCAGGTTTGCACACATCTCAGGAGGGATTTTGTCCCACTTCTCTTTGCAGATCTTCTCCAAGTCATTAAGGTTTCGAGGCTGACGTTTGGCAACTCGAAGCTTCAGCTCCCTCCACAGATTTTCTATGGGATTAAGGTCTGGAGACTAGCTAGGCCACTCCAGGACCTTAATGTGCTTCTTCTTGAGGTACTCCTTTGTTGCCTTGGCCATGTGTTTTGGGTCATTGTCATGCTGGAATACCCATCCACGACCCATTTTCAATGCCCTGGCTGAGGGAAGGAGGTTCTCACCCAAGATTTGACGGTACATGGCCCCGTCCATCGTCCCTTTGATACGGTGAAGTTATCCTGTCCCCTTAGCAGAAAAACACCCCCAAAGCATAATGTTTCCACCTTCATGTTTGACGGTGGGGATGGTGTTCTTGGGGTCATAGGCAACATTCCTCCTCCTCCTCCAAAAACGGCGAGTTGAGTTGATGCCAAAGAGCTCCATTTTGGTCTCATCTGACCACAACACTTTCACCCAGTTGTCCTATGAATCATTCAGATGTTCATTGGCAAACTTCAGACGGGCATGTATATGTGCTTTCATGAGCAGGGGGACCTTGCGGGCGCTGCAGGATTTCAGTCCTTCACGGCGTAGTGTGTTACCAATTGTTTTCTTGGTGATTATGGTCCCAGCTGCCTTGAGATCATTGACAAGATCCTCCTGTGTAGTTCTGGGCTGATTCCTCACCGTTCTCATGATCATTGCAACTCCACGAGGTGAGATCTTGCATGGAGCCCCAGGCCGAGGGAGATTGACAGTTCTTTTGTGTTTCTTCCATTTGCGAATAATCGCACCAACTGTTGTCACCGTCTCACCAAGCTGCTTGGCAATGGTCTTGTAGCCCATTCCAGCCTTGTGTAGGTCTACAATCTTGTCCCTGACATCCTTGGAGAGCTCTTTGGTCTTGGCCATGGTGGAGAGTTTGGAATCTGATTGATTGATTGCTTCTGTGGACAGGTGTCTTTTATACAGGTAACAAGCTGAGATTAGGATCACTCCCTTTAAGAGTGTGCTCCGAATCTCAGCTCGTTACCTGTATAAAAGACACCTGGGAGCCACAAATCTTTCTGATTGAGAGGGGGTCAAATACTTATTTCCCTCGTTAAAATGCAAATCAATTTATAACATTTTTGACATGCGTTTTTCTGGATTTTGTTGTTGTTATTCTGTCTCTCCCTGTTCAATAAACCTACCATTAAAATTATAGACTGATCATTTCTTTGTCAGTGGGCAAACGTACGAAATCAGCGGGGGATCAAATACTTTTTTTCCCTCACTGCATACAGCTCAGTGGGCCTTAGCCTGGTAAAATAAATACAAAAGTCTAGTTTAGTTTTTACAGCTCAAAGACGTTCTGCAATCACAAAAAAGCTGGTTACGTGGTTGACATTTCAGCAACAATTACATTCCAACAATTCCGCCAAAACCATAAATTGCCAATAAGTGCTGTGGCCAAGATACGGTACAGCACACACAAGCGGCTTGCAAGCGGAAGCAGCCGCACTATCCCGCGGTGAATGTGGGCACCAAAATAACCGCAAACGTCAGGACGACAGATCCCTCGGAGTGCAAAGGAGTGCGAGTGGGGCTTCTCAAACATTCAAACGCTCGCCACCAATAGCACCTCATTGCTAAGGGAGGAGGTATGCGGTGGAGTGGGGGTGTGGCAGTCGGGGACCGCCCGCAGTCGTACCAGATCGTAGAAGCGGGCGGAGAGTGGGAATTGATCGAGTGATCTGGGCGGCATCGCCATCGGCGCGTAGTCGGGCCTTACGCGGCGCACGGCGGCAAGCACCACCTCGCGCTCGTCCTCCACAAAGTTGCAGTGCGCAAACAGCTGGTCCAGCTCCAGCCCGTTCTGCTGCATCTCTTCCAGGCACCTGTAACGAGCGGCCGCGAGCGTGCCATGGTTAAACCCCGAGCAATGGCGCGCGCTCGCCGCCTAGCTGTGGGGTGCTTGGATCGCGCGTGAATCGTTTTCGCTTTGTCGATGGCTTCCAGCGACCGTAACGTGCGTGTCGTTTGTGCGTACATATATTACATCTTGAACTTCTTTCGCACCGTACGTAGTGAACCGTGCTACTGGGAGGTGCAAAGTGTGGCCACAGTGTCAAACTGACACGCGACCGAGAAGCGTCATCAAATTAACGTCCCGCGACCCACACAGCGTGCGGTGGGTCGCCGTTCAGTGGTGGACTGACAAAGATCAAGAAGAGCGGTGACACTTGAGTTGTACGCAAAACAGCTGGCAATCACAGACGTCACTTACTAATACAGGGATGAAATAAGAAAATAAAAGCATTGTTTGCAGTACTTTTTTCAAACAAAAGAGCAAATAGGCTTTGTGAAAGACAGTTATTAAAAAAACACACCTCAGTTACAAGCTTCCTTTCCATTCATCTCCCTACATTGCCTCTGTTTCCATCTGCAAAAGGTGAACCATGCACCTTAATCAGGTCATCTCCGAGGCCTCAAGGGTAGGATAAGGAACTTGTCAGGAGGTGTTATGCAGCTCATGGAGACGTGACATTTATTAATAGTGCCAGGCTAGCCCAACATTACGTTGGGACAGCGCCGCACATTGTGTTACAAAGAAAGACGGATGCAGACTGCTGTGGTGAGCGTGTGCAGTCAAGATTTATGGGTGATGTAACCCCTGTGGACCAGGGGTCTGAGCGTTGAGTTGGCACCGCTAAAGATCCTGGGTTGGCATTCAGATGGTCGCCTGTGATTAAAGGCAGGTCCTCAGACATAGTGAGTCGATAGATTACTCTCAGCGGCCAAGCAGGTGGGAAAGTGCTGCCCCTCCCTTACTGTGTCAACCAGAGGTCACTTGAAGGGATCTTTTCTGATGCTGGTCATTACAACATGAAGCACAGGAGCGATTGATGCACTTAGTAACGATCACTGCAAAGGTTGGCTCAAGATAACGTAGTAAACCGAAGTCACGTGCCATGCATTCCGTTTACAACTGAAAGATATCAGTTTGAGGGTCACAACCGGAAGACACATCAAACCACGTGTACCTACGAGGGCAGACCATGGTGAGATCAGCTCATGGGCAAGAGCTGGATTGGTTGTTGCACAGCGAGACCGTTAGAGATGGAGACGGCTTGGCGAAGGCTTCATCTAGAAGTGAACGTTCTGACTACAAATGACCTAATCAGATGCCACTACACCCCTATCAAATTACAGCCCGCAAAAAACATTGCTTACACACCATTGCAGAAGCAGTCGCAAAAACAAGAACACCAAAACAAATATGTAAACGCCCCCGTCGGCGATTGCGGGCGGGTCTGCCTGAGTGCCTGATCACGTGTCTGCAGAGATTACAAACGTTCCGCCTAGGAGGACGCGGGAAGACAATCTGTCCCCAGGTTTTGGGCGGGCCCTCTGGGACGCGTGTGTCACTCAAAGCCCAATGCATTAATACCCCCCCGCCAATTTATCGTGCTACGTGGCAAAACAGCCGAAGCCAAAGCCCTTTGGCTTTTTATTCTGTCTCTCACGTGTTATCCAAGACAACCAAGCTAATCTGCGCACGGCAATGGATTACAATTCAACAGCCTCGTGCTGAGCATCATCCACATCCTCTTAGCCGTTCCATTGTGCTGAGTTCGAAGGTGATTATTCCGAGTGATAAATCTACTGGGCTGCACACACAATTCTCGAATACAAGCGTGTGACAAATGAGGGATGTTTTCACTTTATATGTTTAGCCAAGGGACACATTCGGCCCCACAAGATATTATATTGACCCATAGCAGCATATTAGCAAGGACAATAGTGGGATATTAGCAAGGACAATAGCGTGAAGTGTCCCTGGTCTTTACAGAAACGATCTGTGGATTCATTAGGGTTTATGAAGCAAGACTGCTACATATGAATACACCACGTACAGCACACAGTGCACCCCTAGCATTGCACAAGTCACTTTCACACCTGCATTTGTAAATAATGATCGCAGTCCATTAGCATTGAAAACAAAAGGATGTCAACCAGACAAACCAAAAGCCGCTGACGTCTCTAAGACAATGAAATATCACAACTTTACTGCACTTCACATGTTATAAAATGATTGTGAAGACATTCTTTCAACACAAAAATGATTCACATAATGCCATCCACAAAGTGACAGGAGCTATAAAAGACATCCGGACAAAAAAAAACATGTTTTAAATGGGCACGAACCATGGGATCCATAATAACATCCAAATTCCTGGCTAGCGATGAAAAAAACATTGCCGCACGTTATTTAAAACACACTGCCGTTCTTTTAGTTAGAAAACTGGATTTGTCCCATCAGTAGAACATCATGTAATAAAAGGCTGCAAGGCATTACTACAATTGCTCAAGGTGCGGTGTGCCAGTCCCATTTAAATGAACATACAAACTGCCCATGAAAATAATAGTTCGTATTGACTAAATGCTGAATTATATTTTTTTATACGTTTCATAATTAATAAAAAAAAAACAATTGGCGAAAATGCACTGGCAGTGGTGTATGAGCACAGATGACAAAATGAAACTCAAAACATGTCAATAACACTGCCATTAAATGAAATAAATATATAAATAGGTCACATTTTGGGCAATGGCGCTTCTTCATAGTTCTATGCTATTTAGAGAAGAACCACTACCCAACAAGTCACCTTTTAGATTTTTATTCTTAGGGCAGTGTTATTGACAAAATTATGAGTTACTTTATTTTATTATCTGGATCGGTGTCATTGCAGAAAGAAATCCCACTTCATATAAAAGGTTCTGGGTTTCATTAAAATATCAAGCGATGATGTGTCGACAATGCAGTTTAATAGGACTCAAACTGTACCGCAAGATACAACTACACCTGTGTTATTCCAATTGTCTTATCAATTTATTCTGAAACAATGTTGTTTTATACAAATTTCTTTAGGAATAAAACCATTCTTCAGATGGGAAAAAAGGCAGTTCCAGATGTCACATTTTAAGAAGAAAAAACTGCCCTTTGCTGTATAAAAACAAATAAAAGCTCTTGGAATGAGATGGAATAATTGTGAACGTGAATGTCTCTTATTCTTGGTTCTTTCGGTAAAGTCACGTAGAAAATGTTCTTGCTGTGGTTTTCACACCTGATGATGATTGCTTGTGTTGCAGTCGAAACGTCGTGAGAATTTTATTGTTTGATATTTTTATTATTTTATTGTTTCCCTTCTACGTGGTGACTTTACCCGAAAGAACCAAGAATATGAATCCCTGCAGTCACGAAAGCTTTAAATCAAAAAGGTCTCTGTTCGACGGACACAACTGGAAAGCACGTAACAGTGTGTATACCTTGGACAGTCATGACATACAAACTGGGATCGTAATAATTTACTGTAGAGGTGAGCATGTACAAAGTTGCAGTGCTTTTGGAAACACTGAACCTCAATTGTGAAAAGCAACAGACCAATGTGCCTATAAAAAAAGTTTTCAACCAGTGCGTATTGTCTATTTGGAATGTTGAACTTCATTCGCACCGTACGTATCCAACCTTGCCAATCAGAGGTGCGGGGTAAGGACAACAAACTAACAAAAAACTGTTCTAAGGAAATTATTTTTCAAACAAAATTTTCAAGTGCATAGCTCCAGTGGTTTTATAATATCGGAAGGAAGACCATTCCAGACGGACGCAGACGTGCATCTGAAATCGTGCGATGCAGTGACCGTCTTTGTCCGCTGACGAGCCAAAAGCGGCTTGTGCGAGGATGACCGGAGTTCGCGTGATGGTTTAACACATGTATCAGAAACACAGACAGTGACAAAGTAAATGGAACAAAAGCTAAAAGTGCCCAAAAAACATGCAAAAGCACTTGCTTGAAATTACACTGACAAACAGAAAGATACACACAAATTAAGATAAATTCTATCGAATGCAAAGCACATCAAAGAGAAGTACATGGGTTTGGGCAGGACACATCCTATAAAGAATGGCCGATGGCCGATACTGATGATGGAGTGGCAAATACGGGAACATGCCCCAGAGGATGAGCACCGCAAAAGCAACAACGACATCAGTTCAAGTGCAATGAGCTGGATGGATTGTTGCATCGCAAGGCAGTGACATGTGGTCAACAACTTGGGGTGTTTTTAATCCAGCAGCGGATACAGCGAGGGAAAAAAGTATTTGATCCCCTGCTGATTTTGTACGTTTGCCCACTGACAAAGAAATGATCAGTCTATAATTTTAATGGTAGGTTAATTTGAACAGTGAGAGACAGAATAACAACAAAAAAACCCAGAAAAACGCATGTCAAAAATGTTGTAAATTGATTTGCGTTTTAATGAGGGAAATAAGTATTTGACCACTCTGCAAAACATGACTTAGTACTTGGTGGCAAAACCCTTGTTGGCAGTCACAGAGGTCAGACGTTTCTTGTAGTTGGCCACCAGGTTTGCACACATCTCAGGAGGGATTTTGTCCCACTCCTTTTTGCAGATCTTCTCCAAGTCATTAAGGTTTCGAGGCTGACGCTTGGCAACTCGAACCTTCAGCTCCCTCCACAGATTTTCTATGGGATTAAGGTCTGAGACTGGCTAGGCCACTCCAGGACCTTAATGTGCTTCTTCTTGAGCCACTCCTTTGTTGCCTTGGCCGTGTATTTTGGGTCATTGTCATGCTGGAATACCCATCCACAACCCATTTTCAATGCCCTGGCTGAGAAAAGGAGGTTCTCACCCAAGATTTGACGGTACATGGCCCCGTCCATCGTCCCTTTGATGCGGTGAAGTTGTCCTGTCCCCTTAGCAGAAAAACACCCCCAAAGCATAATGTTTCCACCTCCATGTTTGACGGTGGGAATGGTGTTCTTGGGGTCATAGGCAGCATTCCTCCTCCTCCAAACACGGCGAGTTAAGTTGATCCTAAAGAGCCCCATTTTGGTCTCATCTGACCACAACACTTTCACCCAGATGTCCTCTGAATCATTCAGATGTTCACTGGCAAACTTCAGACGGGCATGTAAATGTGCTTTCTTGAGCAGGGGGACCTTGCGGGCGCTGCAGGATTTCAGTCCTTCACGGCGTAGTGTTATCAATTGTTTTCTTGGTGACTATGGCCCCAGCTGCCTTAGAGATCATTGACAAGATCCTCCCATGTAGTTCTGGGCTGATTCCTCACCGTTCCCATGATCATTGCAACTCCACGAGGTGAGATCTTGCATGGAGCCCCAGGCCGAGGGAGATTGACAGTTCTTTTGTGTTTCTTCCATTTGCGAATAATCGCACCAACTGTTGTCACCTTCTCACCAAGCTGCTTGGCAATGGTCTTGTAGCCCATTCCAGCTTTGTGTAGGTCTACAATCTTGTCCCTGACATCCTTGGAGAGCTGTTTGGTCTTGGCCATGGTGGAGAGATTGGAATCTAATTGATTGATTGCTTCTGTGGACAGGTGTCTTTTATACAGGTAACAAGCTGAGATTAGGAGCACTCCCTTTAAGAGTGTGCTCCTAATCTCAGCTCATTACCTGTATAAAAGACACCTGGGAGCCAGAAATCTTTCTGATTGAGAGGGGGTCAAATACTTATTTCCCTCGTTAAAATGCAAATCAATTTATAACATTTTTGACATGGGTTTTTCTGGATTTTGTTGTTGTTATTCTGTCTCTCACTGTTCAAATAATCCTACCATTAAAATTATAGACTGATCATTTCTTTGTCAGTGGGCAAACGTAAAAAATCAGCAGGGGATCAAATACTTTTTTCGCTCACTGTAGCTCATGAATGATGATGATGATGGTTGTGTTTATGGGTACTTTACTTTTTACTTTCAACAGTGAACTGCTGCCCTGAACTGGAATAATTCACTCAAAAGTTTTGCCAAACTGCTCGTAAAATCTCACAATCGAATAGACCTATATAGCTCTCACACTGTTTGGTTTGAAATAAACAAATCCCAGAAACTATCAATGCAATGAGAAGATAAAAAAAAACATCTTTTCAGCACAAGGATACTCATAAGAGACAATTTTCGAGCCTAAAGTGGCCATCTCCGTGTGCAGACCACGGCCATACGGGCAAATGAATGGGAGGCAGCGGGAATCACGGGCGGTGACGGTGATGGACCGACAGAAGGGCACGTCACGATCTCTCCACACCAAGACCGGCCGATCTGACAGCGGAGGATCCGTTTTCCGAGAGAGAGCGAGCGAGCGAGGGGAGAGACACACACATGGGACACGCCTGCACCGCAGCTCCCTGCCGACCACTGCACCACGAGAATACTGAAGAACATTATTATTAATGGGCATAGTAATATATACCTGGCGGCAATCACTCACGCACCTTTTGCCCGTCATATTTTTCAGGCTTAGAAGCGTCGCGCAGCCCACTGATATTTTTCCCCCGTGCCGTTCGTATCCCTTCACTTAAGGGGGAGACGTAAATTCTTGTTTGAAAACCCCATTTGAGCAAAATCAAGCGATTGACCACACATACTGATATTGGTCAAATGAAGAGGGTCCTCCTCCCTCACAAATGCTTTTTCCCTGCACTCCGACAAATTACAAGCAATGGTTTGCTCAGGTCCAATAACTCAGCTTGCTGTATTATTTATGAAGTAAGGAACTAGGTAAAGTCTTGAGGAGCAAGCAATCCATCTTCATCTCAGTCATTATTCATTAGGTGTTTTCAATCAAAGGCATGTTGCAAATACCCTTGGCAGGAAAACAGCTATGGCACATATTGTAATGTAGCTACCACCTTTAAGCAAATGTCAACACGCCTTTTGTTCTGGTTTGTACCGCTGTAATTGTCAACCAAACAAGCCAGTCACACGCAGTAAAATTATTCTTTTTTCCGTCGAACAACATTATCCTGGGAGGCATATAAAGAAGCATCTTTGCAATTTTGCATCTCAGCAAGGCATCTGTTCGACGCATATTTGCACCGTAACCAATAAAACGTGCATGCAAACCTGCTGCTGCGCAAACAGGCGTGTGCGCCGCACTTGCTGAAAGGCAGCTTTGTAATCAGAATGACTGTAACAGAACATAACTTAGAGTAATTTAATTAGGCACCAGGGTGGTTAAATCTCCCTACAGGTGGTCTGCCGTCGATAGTGCGCGTCATTAATCCAAAGCCATTTCCCAAGACAGCTAAACGCGATTGCCCACTGGCTAATCTTGTGGGAGGAGGTCATTTAAGTGGAGAGAAAGACAAAAAATACAGGCACATTCCACATGGGAAAATTCAATAGAGCCATCACGAACACAACTAACTCAAGTGCACGTGGTCCCTTTCCCCCCTCTATGCCCCAGCCTCAGCTGTCCTCGTGCCACTCTCAAATGAGGGAATGAACAAAATTGGTGGCTTGATTCGTTTTCTGAAATGTTGCCAAGTGACAATATGTCACACACCAAACATTAAGATAAATTCCCTTTGTATACACATTACACAAATTACAATCGAAGGCCAGCTTTGGGTTCATTCACTAACACCATGTTACACATCACTTTGTTGATTTATCCACAATGTACTACACCCTAGCTACTTAATATAACATTATTCTTGAAGGCGATCCTTTAGTCCAAAGTTAATGACTGTGACTGGGTTTTTTTTGTCAAACGGGTAGAAAAATGGGCATGAACCAGCAAGCTTCCCAAGCCATCACTACAAATGTGCCAGAGACAAAAATATCGAACTTGCCTCATCTCTGACCACCTCTGCAAGGCTGCAATTTGCAGACAGCTTTCACAGCGGATGCACCTGACAGATGCACCCAGCACTATGACCAAATCACCAGAAATGCGCCCGATCGCATCAGATTACAGAAGCAAAGGAGGCTTGAGTCTGGAGAGTGATTGGATGGCAAACCTCCATCCACAACACAGGTGTCATCGGCTGTTGCAGGGCTATGCTGTGAGCAGCAGAGTTACTGTACTGTACTCATATACCCCAAAAGCTATGCTTCCCACCTTCAGACCAGAGTAGTGATGATGTATAGTAAAATAACCCCAGCAACCCAGACAGCATGGGGAGTGCCCATCCACCAGTGGATTGACAAAGGAATGCACAAGTAGATTGCACTTCAGCACTTCTCTACACGGACAAAGAACAACGCAAGGGGCCACTGCATCGGGTCACCTGCCAATCACTTCAGTACACGCAAACTTAGGGCAGCAGACATCCTGATGCTCATGTATCCTTTGGCTAAAACTTGACATTATCTCATGAACACAGCAACGCTGATTTGTTACACACAAAACCCTTGCCTGCCAAGTGCTGCATCACTGGCATGCGCCACCATGCCCCAAATGTGCATACAGTATTTATATTACATGGTGGTGCTAATGACGAAGGTTGGGCTGTTACGAAACAGTTAACGTAGAATGCACCAGTGGAGAGATCCCAACACAGAAGCAACGTATAGATTGTTTGACCTAAGGCTACATGAAAACCCTTTGTTTTGGCAAATACCTTCCAAGTTAATGGAAAGTGCGCGTAGGATGGCGCTGACGGCAACCGCTGTTGTTGCCCCCTGCTGTTAACGCATGGTCAGCCACCAACAGCTTTACACCGCATGCAATCATCGTTTCGGTTACACTCAAACCAATTTAACCCCTGAAGGCTTTTCTTACACAACCGCAAAAGGCCACGTTGCAGTGGCTCAGCAGCCGCCGAATCACACAAGCCTCTAACAATATGGCTTGTAATTGCTCATATGCGCCAAAACAAACTGCCTCATACCAGTGTATACTGCCATCTGCTGGCACGCCATATCACACAATGGAGGGTGAGCAGAAACTGGTTAGGCAACGAAACGGCCGATTCGAGACGAGGAAACGCCGCATAACCACCACCGCACTCAAAGTTCAACAATGTATGTTGAACTTCTTTCGCACCGTACACAGCCAATCGCGCTAATCGGAGGTGCGTGTGGCAGCAAGCGAGGCCTATGTTGGCGGGCGCGGTGTCTCACCTCGCGACGACGCTCTGCGCAATGTTTGGCACACGCCCCATGCACTCCAGGGCAGCGGCATATGACACCAGGCTGGGCTTCAGGCCGGCCTCACCAACCATGGAGAAGAGCTTGGCGATCTTGAATAGAAATTTCTGTACGATGACACACACAATGTTATTGATCGCAGGTTCCGTAAGACCAGTAACAGCAATCTAGTTTGGTTGGTCGTAGTTTAATGGCCGGCTGCCTAGCTAACAAGACAGTAGCCCTCCTAGCTTGTTGCGACTGGGCCTGAGGCCTGTTGGATACAAGAGGAAATTATATCTAAAGAAGATATACATGGAAGACCCAGGGTAGAGATCGAAAAAAAAAGGACTGTGGAGTGGACGTGGACATTTCCAGAACATAAATTAATGGATAAAGACCAGAAAGGTATACTCCCACGTGAGGGAAAATGGCAAAAAGACAAAGACCCAAAATTTTGTTTAATATAACCGCGCCACACTCACTTCAACGATCTAAACCCGTACAACATTCACCATCAAATACGTTCAACGTGAACTCATTCTTCTCAAAATGAAAAGTTTTAAGGAACATGAAGGAGTATAAGAAGCCGTTTGCAACAGGGATGAGTGTGGAAGGTGGAGAAAAGTTGGCCTTTCCTTTTTGGCCCAGGCGCCCATCATTACGTCGTAGATCTGCACACTCAACAGCGAGCGCAAGTTGGGATCCTGGTGGTAGTGCCACACGTATTTCTGCGCACGCTTCAGCTCGCCGGAGAAGAGGCAGGCATCAAGATAGCACAGAAGGCGGTCACGGAGTTCATCTGGATCATTCTGCTGCCTCTCCTGGACTTGCTTCGCCCCCTCGGCCTTGTCCTTTACGCCAACCACCGCCTGTCACACACACACGACACAGTTGCAAGCACGCCTCAGTGGCTTGACAATTAAAACTGTGGTCATTATCCAAAAGTGATATTTGTGCATCTCACATGACATAGGGAAGGCCAATTGAAATTAAGAGAGAGCGCTTGCTTGCTTGTGGAAATGTTCGTGTCCCACATGACGTCGATTCAATATTAATCAGAACTCCATGAAAACAAATATAGCCACTGTTTTTGTAGATCTTGGTATGCTGTTGCATTTATATGCTATATAAATATAAAGTGGGTTGTATTGTAAAAATTTTATGGGATGAAAGTAGTTTAACACATGGGACGAAGCTGGTGGGTATGAAAATTGTGAAGATACTTAGGCATGACTGTATTCTAAAACAGATTACACAACGGGTAACTAACAACGGGAAACCGTGCATTCCACCAGTGATGCTGTCAGCCCAACCACTCCACACATTGTGCTGGTTCAAGAGTCAAAGCACATGCAGGTTTTACCTTTGCGTCCTTGAGCTTCACGTCCACCTTGGAAGCATTTTGATCGAGAGCAGACTGCCTACGCGGCCGCTCTAACGTTCCTGCAGACGCTGCAATGGCTGCGTGAGGAAGGGGCGCTTTCCGTGCAGACGTGGCGTCGGACAGCGATTCAGTGCCACCGTCCCCGCTCGCCTTGGTAGGCTGCTGCCGAGAGTTCACTTTGATGGACTTTATCGTGGACTTTGACTTGACTGTGCCCGTCTTTGGCTGTGCGGGACGACTTTGTTTGCTTGCGCTGGGTTCACCTTTATTGGGTTTCACCTTGGTGGGTTTGGAGGCACTGCCTTCGTCGTTACCCTTGACCTCGTCAGCACGCTGCTTGCCCCGGGAGCAACTCTGTTTAGTCACAACTGCGGCTTGTGATTGTGAAGGCAAACTCTGCGCAGGTTCGCGGGTGGATATTTGCTCCACCACATATTTTCCTTGTAGCTGGTGTTGTCGTGCCTTTAAAACTGCAAAAAAAAAGTGATTAATAATATCCATCTTTCCAAAGTGTCCAAACATGTCTTGACCCATTTGAGAGATCATCTTCCACAGCACATTCTGCTCTGTAAAGTTTATCGATTCAGTTAAAAAAAATCATTTGTTTTTCCCCATGACTGACTAACACGCATGCCTTTCTTTGAGTACAGCGTCCTGAGGTTCCATCACATCACAGAGATCATTACAAATTCAAATCCTATTCTAACTGCATCGTATTAACACTGGGGTGGAGCTGTGGTACAGTGGCTAGTAACCTGCTCTACGAACACGGTCACCTAAATCCAATTCCTGACCATGGCTCACATCAGCGGCAGGTGAAATCAGAACCGGTCCCTGTCCTCCCCACCTTCCTTCACCAACCCACACTCATCAGCAAAGTGAAGAATTCTAAAACAAAAAATTCCATGAATGACTTGGTGTGGGAATGCCTTCATTCAACAGTGGACTGAATGTCCAAAGCTTTTGATACAGTAGACCACAACACCCTGCTTAGTAAACTAAGTTGCCTCGGTTTTTCCGAAAACACAGTCAAATGGTTAAAAAATTACCTCTTTTCTCGCACCCAAACTGTATTCACAGATGGTTGGAGGTCAAACAGTGTTAAGATAACAAAAAGGGTTCCACAGGGTTAGATCTTCGGCCCCCTCTTGTTCTCTCTTTATGTCAATGACTTGGGCACTGACCTGGATCATTCCAAGGTAAATCTTTTTGCAGATGACACGATACTGATTACTGCTGGCCGCTCTCCGGATGAAGTGATTGCTAAGCTCCAGGATGATTTCAACAAACTACAACATCAGCTAGTTGCTCTTAAACTAGTCTTGAATACCTCCAAAACAAAGGTGCTATGCTTCTCACCAGTACTAAAGCAGGAAGTTATTTTTCCCCAATTACATTCCTTAAATAATTATCAAATAGAGCAAATCAAGATCTATAAGTATATTGGGGTCATCCTGGATTCAAAACTGAATTTTGAATATCACATTGATTATATTGGTAAAAAGACAAAAAAAAATGTTTTTCTGTATCGACACAAGCACTGCTTCCCCCCTATGTTCCGTTTGGAATTGATAAAAGCTACCATATTGCCTCTACTTGATTACTGTGACATCGTGTATAAATCAGCCCCAAGTACTGTACTGAAGAAGCTTGATTCCATCTATCACTCGGCCTTAAGATTTGCATTGAACTGTCCATATAGGACTCACCACTGATCTCTACATTGGGTCAAACTTAACATCTCTTAATGTTCGACGGCTTGCGCACCAGATCTTATTTATTCATGATGTACTTACAAAAAAATTCGCAGACTACCTGCTGGATCTCCTCTCTGTTTCAAAGAACAAATTTGACCTCAGGTCTTCGCTCATTTACCAGCTTCACATTCCCTATTGTCGTACAAAAAACTAGAGGAAGGGCCTTTGCTATTGATGCCCCCAGGGTCTGGAATGCTATTGCCAATAAACTGCAACTTGAATCACTACCAATGAGATCTTCACTCAAAACTGCTCTAGAGGAGTTGTACACCCCTAGCTGCCACTGTTATTCAGTGGCCTAAAATAAAATGTTTCGCTCCGGATGACCGCTGCAAAGTGCTATCTGTATTTTTATTTAGTGTGCTGATCTTAAAGGTGCATTGAAAAAATGTATACTCCGACTGCTGCTCCTGTTGTTGTGGAGTGACTCATGCAGCCAGCTATGGCTCTAGGGTTTGGTGTTACATGTTGTTTATGTTGTTTATTGTGAAAATTCGGTCACAGTTCCTATGATCACTGTTACATTGCTTTTATGATTTTATTTTGGTGATGTCGAAAACGTTTTTTGTTTTGGCCATGTTTGTTTGTTGTAGTACGGAGTTAGACTGATGGCCTTAATCTAAGTTGTCTTGTGGTTGTTGTTGTTTGACTTGCATCCCACTGGGATTTTTGCACACAGCATTGGTGTATGGTTCTTTTTCAGGAATATTTTGCTGTTTTTTTCCTGGATTTTCTGTTTGCAGTCACATAGTCACTTTAAGATGTTTTCTTGTTCATGTTTTTGTTTTTTGTTTGTTGCGGTTGCACCTGATTCAAGAGCCAAATGGCTCACAGGGCTATATCAAATAAATGAAAACTGAAAAAACATGAGAAAAACGACTGATTAAATTGTAAGCAATGCACACACACATGGGCACGGAGCCTAATGTGGGGAGATCACACTCACCCTGAAGCAGCTCCCGCTGGTACAGATGCTTGAGCGATGGTGTGGAGGAAGCCCTCTTCAGCAATGTCGCCTCTGTCAAAACAACAGCAACGTTTATACGATGTGGTTGAACTTAAGCAATTGTAAGTTAATGCCATGCATTTATTAAATGAAATATACATTGTCAATCCAGTGGTTATGGCATTCTGACCCCATATCATCATGGGAGTTGTTTGACCATATTTAATCACGCCTGGTCAATGCGAGTTGGTGAATCGGGGAGCATAGATGTTGGGAGCACAGTACAGTACAATAATGCACTTTGCTACAATGGCCACTACTGTTAACGTCCTGTACGCCTTCACCAATCCGCAATTACCAGCGTGGAGAAGTACGTTCAATGAACTTCCCGGACGCCTCATCCATGCAGCAGTGCACTCTGCATGTGTAGGTGAATGGGTGCTGCTATGACCACTCACGCCCACTGGTGGCCGATGAAGATCACTGTAATTGTGCGTATATTATATTATCAGAACATTGTTTATATATTCACTACAAGTGCAGTTAATGCTGACTTAATTCCTTTGCAAAAGGTTCCTATTTGGTTGTTTGAACATCTTAACACCTTTTTGATTTAAAGCTTTCGTGACTGCAGTAATTCATATTCTTAGCTCTTTCAGTAAAGTCACGTTGAAGGGAAACAAAATAATAAAATATATTGTTATATATATTATTTTATTGTTTCCCTTCAACGTGACTTTACCGAAAGGGCTAAGAATATCTTAACACCTGTTTTATTGGCAGAAAGGGTAAAAACCTATTCTTATTCTTTCATACTTTGATCCTGCCAAAAAGGTCCCATTTTGTAGCTGCTCACCCCGAGCTATAAATACCCTGGCAGTGCATTGTCCCTGTACTGTTCGCCTTTTGGCGTTCTCTGGTCTGACACTGGTGGTGAGACGAGATCCTAAAGAAGGCTATCTCTGGTATAGGCCAATACATTTAAAAGACAATGCATATATTATCAGAGCACGTTTGTTTGCATGTTCACAAGCACGTGTGGTTTATGCAGCCGGGATTCCTTGCAAAAGGCAGTGTGGTGTTTGAACATCTAGACAAGACCGTTTTATTGACAGAAATAGTCAAACCTATTGTTATGTTTTCACATTCTAATATTGTTTTCCCTTATCCTCTCGTGACCTCAAACAACTGTGCTGTGGCCTGAACACGTGAACCGGTTACCTCGAACACATCGAATGAGATGTTTTCCCTAGATCTGTCATTAGAGACGATACAAGGGAAATAATAATCACCGGGCCACTGACGTGTCGGAGCATACTCCTCACCAGCGTGGTGAGGTATGGTCAAACCCCCACGACACGGCGGAAAGAGGCCCTTTATACAACAGTTGATGATGCTGTACTTTACATAATTCCAATACAGTATTGGACCCACGTCGTGAAGGTCATGGGGGGTGGGGGGGGAGGTCATTTGGCCATAGGGGCCGTCCATAAATGACGTCACGCGATTTTCACGGCGTCACAAGTCAGACCCCCCCCCACAAATATGACGTCACAAAGCTCTGCCACCCCCCCCCCAAAAAAAAACGTGCTTCAAATCGCTTTAAACTATTGTCATTGTAGTGCGTACTTAGTATGGCGCTGCACTCTGTTGTAGAAAACATTTCTTAAAAAGTCTATTTAATGAAGTAGAACGTGTTGTCTATATTTATTTAAAGTCGCGCATTTTGATGTGACGTCACATTTCTCACCCCCCCCCCTCGTCAGTCACGAATGTCTGACCCCCCCCCCAGGTGCGTGACGTCATTTATGGACGGCCCCATACTTCACCACGCCTGTCAATGCGGGTCGATGCAAGCGGGCAGCAGAAACGCGTGAACGCAGCAGTACGATACAACGTGGTTGTCACACTGCCACCCCCCACACACACACACAACACCCTCACCCCCATCACCACCCACCACCCACCACCACCATCGACTTTATAAACTCATCGCTTTGGCCTCACCGGGAGCCACGCGAAGGGCCGCGCAGCCCAGACACACGAACACGCGGCCACCGCCTGGCCCAGCGCCTGCGCCCCACGACCGCATCTGCTGGCCAAGCCGCGTGAGGCAGAGCATGGCCGAGGCCGAGGCCGGTGGCGCGAGATGCCGGGGCGAGGGGTTTCGTGGAGGTTCAGGAGACGTCGTGAGAGGGGGGTCACCCCCTGGCCCCGCAGCGTGGGCATCAGCAGCACGCGGGGTACAGTCGACGAGGGTGAGGGGGGAGGGGTCGTCTCTGACCTCTCACCCCCCCTCCCCACCCCCAAACTGGCCACTTTACATTTCGTAGCTCGCGCACGCCGTTCGCGGCACCCCATTGGGTGGACGGGCGAAGCGCGTGACGACCGACGGAGCGCGCCCATTGGCCGAGAGGGCCTGCTCGCGCGCCGATCCGCTGTAGGTAATGTAAAGCGGGGGTGGGGGGTGTGGGGTGTGAGAAGCCCAAAGTGATCGATGGAGTCGAGCGAGTCGATGTTGGGTGGGGTGGGGGGTTGGGAGCACGTGGAGGATGTCAAGATCACACGGCAACGTGGTGGCCATTTATCGATTCTCTTAAGAACGTTCACGTCCCAAATCAGGGGTGGGGTGGGGGAAAGCAACCAAAACAAAAAGCAGGGACATTTTTTTAATTCGATTAAAGAGTACACAAAAAATTGCTAATATGAAGAACAGCAGCAATGCAATGTGAAGACGAGACGGTGGTCCCTTAATAATATATTGTTTTAAACCCTCACGAAACAGCCCTTAAAGAGGCCAGCATGCGGCTCCGCATGCGCAGGTTGCCGACTCCTGCCCATGGTAAACTGGACTTCCAAGGTGATCTGGACTCCAATGGTAAACTGGTATTTGGTGCCGTCCATAAATGACGTCACGCGATTTTGGCTGATACAGTATTTCACCCCCCCCCCCTCGTCACACGGCGTCACAAAAAGTCAGACCCCCCTCAATTATGACGTCACAAAGCTCTGCTCCCCCTTCCCACCAAAACCATATTAGCATTTTGAAAATAAAACATGTTTCAATACTATATTCTTGGTTCTTTCGGTAAAGTCACGTAGAAGGGAAACAATAAAATAATAAAAAAATAAAACAATAAAATTCTCAACAAAAAAATTTGAAAACATTTCTAAAACTGCAGATGTTCAGAATATTATATAGAAATTCTCCTTTAATTATAAAATATAAAAAGTAATTATAACTAAATTTAGATGTAAAGCTTTCGTGACTGCAGGGATTCATATTCTTGGTTCTTTCGGTAAAGTCACGTAGAAGGGAAACAATAAAATAATAAAAATAAAAAAAAATTATTGCTTTATATTTTATTGTTTTAGATTTTATAAAATAATAAAAAATAGAACAATTATTGTTTTATATTTTATAAAATAATAAAAACATAAAACAATAATTGTTTTATATTTTATAAAATAATAAAAAATATAAAACAATTCTTATTTTATATTTGTTTTATATTTTATAAAATAAAATAAAAATGATAAAACAATTATCGTTTTATAATTTTTATTATTGTCTTACATTTTATAACTATTAAAAATTATTGAAACTTTGTAGTAGAAAGAAGCACAAATGTAGAGTACAATTCTAACGTACGACACGTTCATTCCACAGAGAATGAACATCTCAACTCCGCTGCTGGACGAACTCTCCCCCGAGCTGTTGACAAACAAAAATGCCTCGAGGGCATTCGGCGCCCCACGCGATCGGTGTCGCGAGACAGCTCGCCGAGTCAATTCCACCGCGAGATGACCTCAAGGTCATGATGACCTCAAGGTCATCTCGCGACCTTGAGGTCGAATTAAACGAACGAGAACGCAACACACCAGTGTGGTGCGATGCAAGACACAGGGGGCAACGATCACGTGTTTTTTTATTGTAATTTATTATTACCGGAAAAAAACCGTGTTCATTTATTTTTAGCCATGTGGTACAGATGGGTCCAGATGTTTCGTGACCCCTAGTTAATTCATCCAAAACGTCATTTTTTAAGTAAGGTTTATTTAACACAGAAATTAATTTGCAAAGTGTGTGTGTGGTGGGGGGGGACATGTTAGGGGTTCAATTCATTGGGTGTCACAAGATATCTGGACCACCCTGTATAACAAGAACGATTGCGTAACAACACGAACACAAATACCTCCTTCCACAAAAAAAACCCACGCGGTTTGATGTGGCCCGATATCGCGAGCGTCCGAATCGGTGATAATCGACGAATCCCACAGGTGGCCTCGTGGAAATTGATTGAATTGGTGATTGATGAGCGATTTATTGATGAGTGATTTATACTGGTAGGAACGAAGTTGTAAACTGAGTGTACCAGCCTGCAATAGATTAATGTGTCCGTCCATCCGTCCCCTTTCAATACTGTAACGAAGTGAAAAATTCCAATGTTCCTACCAGCCCACCCTGCAGGGACCTGTTTGATGAGTGATTAATTTTAAGGCGGCACACGCACGGTCGTCGCACGTGTTTTTTTTTCACCTCCCCCACCCCGGAAACTTTCGCCCTCTGTGCCCGGTCCAGGCCGCACGGGGCGCTACGGTACCCGGCGACTCGCTCGACCCCTTCACGGCCCCCCAACCCCATCCCCATCCACCCGCCCCTCCACTCCGTGTGCACGATTCCATTCAAGCCACGACACTTTGACGCATCTCGCTTCACACAACCACCACAACCACCACCACCACCACGCGCCTTCTGCCACTCGTACGCGATCCCGATCAGTCGCCACGGTCATCCCTCACCCTGCCAGCCAAATTAATCGCCCGATCAGCGCGTTCACATGTACGGAAAACCTCGACAGCATCGACATTGCCCCGGGTTGGTGGCCGTGGAGGAATCGACGAGTCGAGTGGCCGGGCGCCAGCCGGCTCCACGTGGTTGAGAGGAGGAGAGAGGAGGCGGTGACCCCCCCCACTCCACACACATCCCACATGCAGAGAGTGAAGCCCGGGACGGAGTACGAACTCTGGAGTTCGGCAGCTGCTGCTGTTGTTGTTGCAGCTGCTGCTGCTGTTGTTGCTGCTGCTGCTGTTGACTTAAAGCGACCACAGCCGCCCGGGTGGAGGGGGGGAGGGGTCGTGCTTCGGCTCCGCTCTTCTTGCCGCCACTGCCTCGCGTCGAGAAGAGCCGCGGTTTTGTAAGGATGGAGGAGGACAAGCAGATGACGGACTTTTGTCTCAAGGTTCCCAAAGTGGTGAGTAGCGCGGCGAGCGACTGCTGCTGTTGCTATTGTTGTTATTGTTGTTGCTGTTGTTGTTGCTGTTGTTGTCACACGCGGCGATCCATCGGCACCTTCGGTCGCCCCTCGTTCCGCTGCTCGATGGAGGCACACACACACTCACCACCCGCTGAGTCACGATCTAGACTGTCGGGGTTATGAGGACTGTTCACCATCGGTCGTGATAGATCCACTGCTGGATGAGTTCCAGCTCTTCCCCTGACAACCACCACCACCTTTTCGTTACCCCCCCCCAACAACCACCACCACCAATCCATCATCTCCCATGATCATTTCAGTACTGTAGCAGCACCCGCGCGTAGCACGCGATCCGATTTCATCGCTCCATCTCCTTGGTAAGCGTGTGTCCACCTGGGCGCTAATTGTGACCGGTGTGGTTCACGTGCATAACCCGTGTTGTCAACCCACTGCTGGATGGACGAGGGCCTCCGTTCGGGGTAATTTCACCATATTTCACCACTTTGGCCAGGCGATGATGGGGGGGGGGGAGTGCACGGCCCTCGACTGCTCTGAACGCCTATAACGCGTCTTGCGCTTGGTGGTTGCCCATCCAAGCCCTAGGCAGGCTCACAATTCTTCTGAGCTTCCGAGATCTGACAATACCCGGGCGCTGTTGTCGAAGACTGACACCCGCCATAGTAATGTGGAATTTACACCATTGACCCCGTAGCCGCTGTACGAATGGGAGCACCGCACCATAGCCCACTTGCAAGTAATTTAAAAATTGACGGGCTGATATTTTATGCCAGCCCTCCTTGACACAGCATCACCATGCGTTCTTATAAATTGTGTTTATTTTATATAGCGTCTAAAAACAACTGCATCTCAAAGACCCGACGTTTCCAGCCCAATGCCAAAATTGGCTCAACTTTGGTATGCTTACTGGGAGTCTTGTAGACTATAATACGTAAATACACTACAGTCAGGGGTTAATATGATCAGCAGGAGCTTAATATGATCAGCAGGAGCTGTCCGGGGCTGAGCTGCAGTAAAAATAAACATGTTTTGATGCCCCCAATGTAGTATACTGTATATATATGTTCTTGAGCAATAGTTCTTAACTTTTATTGCAGTCTTGCACCCCTTTGGTTCTCAGTCGTTAGAAAATGTGTCATTTTAATAGATACAGAGGTTTGATGCAACAAACTAGTTCTACGCACGTGCTTAATTTGTGTTTGAATGATTTGCTTTCTAAAAAATAAAATCTGGACATGTCTCACACCCCCCAGAAAGGCATCTCGCACCCCAGGTTAAGAGCCACTGCTCTAGAGGAAGAAAGCAATCAGAATAGGCAGGAGAGAATACTTTGATACTCGACTTGAACAGAGGTAAGGGAATCAACAGCACGTACAGCTGTGGGAGGAGGGAGTCCCGTACTATATTCTTGGTTCTTTCGGTAAAGTCACGTAGAAGGGAAACAATAAAATAATATATTCTTATATATTTTTTATGTATTTTATTGTTTCGAAAGCTTTAAATCAAAATTTGAGTCCCATACTGTTGGGGGGGGGGGGGGGGGTGGGGGGGGTAGCACAGATAAAGGTTCTTCGTCACACAAAACGAGTGGCTGTCCTTTGAAACACTCAGCCCTGCCATAGGAATGTGCCGTTTCCATCACTGGTTATGTTAATGTGGAGTGCTCTTACCAATAACATCTGGTGATGAAGCAGCAGCAGCATCTTGTTCAACAAGTCTGACTGCTCATGAGACCCAACATGTCGAAACCAGTCCAGTGCTTGCTTTAACAAATGCTGCTTTATAGTATTGCTCTGGGAAGCGGATAGGCATCATAGGCTGTGCATTCGTAAGTGGTGAGGCTGAACGGGGTTCTGCTTGTATTTTGGTTACATGATTATGATTACCACCCACCCCATCCTATGTTACGCGAGCTCTTTATTTCCACTGCCTGACCCCTGCAAATGGGCAAATGGACGTCTCAATTGAAAGGCACCCAGGTTTAAATATAGATCGTCCACTTTATACCGCGCGCGTGTGTTTTGTGTGTGTGTTGAATGTTTATTCCAGAGTGCACGTGTGTATTATGTATCTGTGAGTGAGTTTTTTTGTGCGTGTGTCTTTAGTATGTCTGGGTATGTGTGTGGTAATTATCTAAATTTTGCTCCGTATGAGTGTATATATGTAACTGTGTGTTTGTATAAACATGTGTGCCTTGAGAATGTGTTTGTATGTATGACTGCGCTGCGCTACGAACCCGGCGACCCGACTTTGATTCCCTCTCACGGCCAGCACCAGTGACGATTATCGGAACTGGTCTTGGGCCTCCCCTAGGTCGACTCGGCCTCAAATGAGTGCCTGGTGCGGTGTGTAAACAATCGCCACTGGGGAGACAAAGGCGGCCGGGCGTGGTACTGGCGACCCTTCCCCTCGTGTGCCTTAATAGGTGCTCGCTAACAGCACTTGCTCCTACAATCTGTTAAGATTGTATGTATGTACTGTGTTTGCATTTGTGTAAGTGTTCCCGCTATGCAGTTGTATTTCTACGTAATAGAATTACGATTTATATTCAAGTATACAGTAATAATCTTCATGTATTGCCCCTTCTTGTCGAACCACTCTTGAATGAAGACCTACCCCACGCGGTGCGTGTCGTAAGGGTTATTTGGCCATACCTCGCCTGTCAGGGGATTAATTGATCATGGATGATGATGATGATAACAGCACTTTCCCCCACAGTCTATAATGGATTAGTGTTTGAGCAAGTGGTGTGCATTGGGTTGATGCGTGTGATTATCCAGAGCAGCCAGGAATTAAATCGAACAGCCCCTTTAGCTCGCAACAATGAGAACGTTCAGTCCTGTGCCTGGCCCTTTTAGTACCTCTAACACCAGTGTGGCCTACCTGGCAAAGCCTAAGCACCGTGCTACCAAGAGGCAGGGAAATTTGAAAGGCGCTATTAAATTAGGATATTTGCTGCACTGCCCTCTGCTACGAATCAGAATATTTACTTATGCTGGAGGAATCCGATGAGCTATAAAGCTCTTTTTCACAGAGGGGCAGGTCAGAACGTATAATAACAAACGATACAAAAATATGATAGGAGTGCAAAGTATAGGAAAGGTAGACAAATCACTTTAAAAATTATTACAAATTTAACTAAACTACGTTTTTTTCTTACCGGGTAAAGCCCACTGAGCTATGAACTTAGTTTTCACAAGCCACCTGGCCACAAATGCTAGCTCAACAAAGTGGCTTATGTAGAAATTTATAGCAGGAAAATAATTGAAATAATCTCAATGTTAGTGTATGGTGGTCACCTGCCCAAGCACTATCCAGGCCCATTCCTTAATTAACCAGAAATATTTGCCCTTGGGAATTGAATGGATGTTTATAAAGTTTATTTTCTGGTTGTGGGTTCCGAAAGCAAATGTGCGGGTCTGGTGCTGATTACATCTGTAGTGAGTCCAACTGAGTCGCAGAAGTTCTTCAGAGGCAACACAATTATTAAACAACACGTATATACAGAAGGGGTAGCTGCCCCTTTACCAGATACAGCCAAGGGTGGTGACTAGAGGCCTACCGAAACTGAATTTCTGGTTTCAGCCGAAAACGAAACCAGACCGAAAGTTAAAAATGGACTTTTGGCCGAAACCGAAAGTAAACCGAAAGTAAACTTGTTGGCTTTGGCCGAAACAGAAACTATGCCGAAAGAGGCCATTTGCCAACTTTCACCGCCAAATCCGAAACCGAATTTTGGTCGGCCTCTAATTGTCAGTCTTCGAATCTCGGTATCAACACGCGTGTAGACTGAAGCGAACGCAACACATAAGCCAAGGCGGGCAAGCGGTTGGGAACAGACAAAAGAGCCTTTGTTGTCGTCCCGCCAAAGAGACTCCACCCACGGATGGAGACGCAGGCTGCCGTCTGTTGACCGGTCGTATATACATTAGCAGACCATGGTTGCGGCTGTAACCTCACTCCCAAGCTGCTGCTGAGGTGTGTGTGTGTGTGTGTTTGCAGCCTATCGCATAGGATTGCCTAGTGCTGACTGACCGGCCGATAGGCAGAGTGATAGACGTAGCACTAGCGTTATATTCTAAAAATAGATCTTCGGTTGACGAATGGCGACCGGAAGTCAATATCCGTTTTGGCCGAAACCGAAACCAGACCGAAAGTTAAAAATTGACTTTCGGTCGAAACCGAAAGTATGCCGAAAGAGACCATTTGCCAACTTTCGGCGCCGAAACCGAATTTCGGTCGGCCTCTAGTGGTGACCACCCAGCTAACTACACTACCATACAGGCGTTAGGGCTACGACGGACCGGACTCGGGTCCCGGGCCACGTGTTGGTGCCTCTTCAGATGGAGAACGTGGATCTTGCAGCTTGCAGAACGTAGCAACCCCGGTTCCTCCCAGGGACCCACCTTATATCCTTCCGGGCCAGGGCCGGCTCCGCCCTGGGCCCTGCCCACCTTCGAGAGCGTTCCAGCTCTCTCTCGATCCCTCTCGAGAGCTCTCCCCAGACACATGATCACCCCCTAGCCCCCCCCCCCCCCCCCGGGGGGCCGCCCAATGGACACTCCGGATCACGTGCCTACAAGGTCAACCAGAGTGCCATGGCCCGGGGCAACCCTGTCCCTAGGCTGACACTCTCCCGCTCCCTCTAGTGGGAGCCCGCACTGCACGATATGCGTGGTGCCCGCGCTATCCCAGCGCTCACCAAGCCCCACTAGGGCTGGTACTACACCCACCTACAGGGTGTTTCAGTTTCAGTTGATTTAGTTTGGTATAGCCCTGTGAGCCATTTGGCTCTTGAATCGGGTGCAACCACAACAAACAAAAAAACAAAAACACGAACAAGAAAAACATCTTAAAGTGACTATGTGGCTGTGCAAACAAAATCCATGAAAAAACAGCAAAATATTCCTGAAAAAAGCACCGTGCACCAACGCTGTGTGCAAAAAAATCCCAGTGGGATGCAAGTCAAACAACAACAA